AGCTGCCAGCCCTCCCACTGCCTTAGCTGGAGGGGCGTTGGCTGGAGAGGAGAGCAGGAGCAGGAGCAGGCATGGGGACGGTGCTGCAGGCTACGGGCAGCAGACACAGTTTAGTTCCTCTTCTCCGTCCCAAGGCACGTTTCAAGGGCTGCCTCAGACATCTGTCAGGAAATAAATGAGCCAAGTGGCGGTCAACGGCTGGTCTGGGAGTGGGAAGGGGAAACTGAGGAAAGTCACAGCACAGATCGTCTTTGCCAGTGGACCTTAAACAAAATGCTGAAATAATCACCAGTTATCAGAACTAAGATAGATTTGCATCTTAAGTAGGTGGTATCTGTCTTTCTGCTACTCAGTGTCTTGCCAGTTAATTTGCAATCATTTAGCAGCTCACAGATAAATAACTCATCATGTCCTTTCCCCGAAAGATGCTTTTCTGCTGCTCCTGTTGTGTAGCTGGTTTGATGTGTTCTAAACCAGAGAAAAACAGAAAGGAGGCAATTCAGACAACACTACTCTTTATCTTCTCTGCTCCAGGAGAAGACCCCTTTCCAGGGATCATCGACATACATGGATACATTGGAGGTCTTTCTGAGCACAGAGCCAGCCTGCTGGCCAATCATGGGTTTGCCACACTGGCCCTGGCTTATTTCAGCTATGAGGATCTGCCCCGGGAGCCAACTGAACTCCACCTGGAGTATTTTGAAGAGGCGCTGAACTACATGCTGCAGCACCCACAGGTAGGAGCACCCTCCATGTCCCCCTGGGTGTCCCTGGGCTTGCTTCTTCTCCAAAGTGCCTGTCCCTTTGTCCGAGTTAGCTCTGGAGGAAGCTGCCGAAATGCACCCCGCTCTAGGGCGGGCAGCTGCCAGCAGCTTGGGTTCCTGGGCTCTAGGAAAGAGGAAGGGTCAACGAGATATTCACTGGAATGGCAGTGGAGGGACATCACAAAGCAATCTCACAAGAGACAGATGAGACATAACAAGGTGGGAAGGCTGTACAGCAGAAAGCCTTCATGAATTGCCACCAAATGTCCTCCTACAGCCTCAAAAGTGAAAAGTAAAAACAGCATCTGCCAGTGTCTAAGACTAACTCTTAGCTGTGTCCTACAACTTGTCCTCAAATTGGTGAAATCATGTTCCCCCTCTATTGGCTGGTGTCAGCACACCAGGGAATATTATCAAAGGCAGCCATTTCAATGGGAGGTGCTTGGCAGTTGTCCAGAAGAAAAACCAATCATTGCCATCAGTCACCTCCTTCTCAGTGTTCTGCAAACTCAGCACTGTACAGTGTCCCTCTCCAGTAAGGAGCTGTTGTGTTTATCAGCTCAGTACTGATGGGGATTTCTCCTGTCTACCAGGTGAAGGGACCAGGGGTTGGCCTGCTCGGTTACTCCAAAGGAGCTGATCTGTCCCTCGCCATGGCCGCCTTCCTGAAGAACATCACAGCCGTTGCCTCCCTCAATGGCCCTGTGGCCACTACAGTTATTCCTCTCTGTTACAAGGATAAAACCATCCCTTCTCTGCCCATCGATGAACAACTGGCCAAGGTCAATGATTCCAATATTCTTGATTGTTCTGACACCCTTAGTGACCCCTTTCAAGCCCCCGGCAACCAAAGCCTGATCCCACTAGAGAAAGCCGAGGCACAGTTACTATTCATTGTTGGACAAGACGACCACGTTGTCAAAAGTGAGTATTATGCTACTGAAGCCTGCAAGTACTTGCAGGCTCAAGGGAAGGACAATTTCCAGATTCTGTCTTACCCTGGAACTGGGCACTGCATTGACCCTCCCTTTTTCCCTTTGTATCCCATAGGAAAGCATCCAGTTTTTGACAAGTGGGCAGTGCTGGGTGGGGAGCTCAGGGCTTATTCTAAAGCTCAGGTTCACGTGTGGCCACAGATCCAGGCTTTTTTCAACAAATATTTAAATGACAACTAATGTGCAATAAAGACACTGCTTTAAATGACCTAACTTGACAGACATTTTCATCTTTGTGGGAAACCATATAATTTGAGACAGAACAGCACTGTCTCATGACCCTGAAAGATCAGCGCGTCCTGCGCCTCCGTTCTCTGTTCTCAGGAGATAAGCTGTTTTCACACATCCAGCTGCAAAAGATCCTGGAAAACAACAACAGTGAACTGGCATTCGCAAAGCCACGAATCCAAAGCTGATTGGCTCTAGTAACTATTGTATTAGTATATAAGGTATTCACTTGAGCAATAAAATGATTCTGATCGAGCACAAGATTGGGGTCCATGAAGTCATTCACCACGCATCTTTATCAGGTCAAACTCTGTTCGCAGGTGTACCAGGACAACTCCAGTATCTTCCATGACTTTGCCCATGCATAACTCAGAACTGGCTCTGCCTTTTCTGTTCTTCCCTGAGCCTTTTTGCTCGAGTGTCAAGAAAAGGAATGGCAAATAGATTTGCACTAACCCTTGATAAAATAGATCATGTGCAAAACGCGCAGTTACATTTCTCAGGCGGTTTCTGCTCTTCCAATACTTGACGGCACCTTGCCTCTCACTGTGGTCTCTACGTGCATACGCTACCCTCAGCTCATACTTTAAACCAACACCTCTCAAATGCCCACTTTGGAGCAGGGATTTCACCACTCCTATGGTGAATGTCTCATCACCAATGGAAATGTCTCTGATCTCTGTGCTGCTGGAAGCGGGTAAGAACAGATGCTACAGGCAGGATGCCAGGGTGTCTCCGGTTAACCCTCGGGAAGGGGGGCTTGCCCTCTGTGCCTTCTTTCTGTCCTCCCATCAGAAGGAAGTGCTCTGGCTCACAGATACTTCTGGCCCCAAGCTGCCATGCAAAAAGCCTTTCTGCTGAATTTACAGCCATTGTGATCTCCTCCCACACAATGTGGAACTTTTTCAGCTTTGTTATTGGGGCAAGAACTGTAATAAATAGGGACTGAGATTTGAAAGCCATGGAGTCATTTTCTGTGCTTTGGGTAGAAGCAGGAATCTTTGCACCTCAACCACCCTCTCACCCCAGGGTGGAGTGGGACCCTGTGAGTGGAAAGGCTCCAAGGGCCTCCTGCCCCACCTTGGCAGATCAGCCACACTCACTCCAAGACACTGGCGAGCGATTACCTGCCAGTAGCACCCCCAACTGCTTTGCCCTCCACCAGCCTTCCAGTGGCCATTGTCCCTGTGGGTCCTGGAGGGCTGCCACCTCCCTTGTGGACACTATCTCCCACCGCCCTGCCAAACCAGCCACTGTGGGTGTCTCCAGGCTGTGGGTGTCCTTCCAGACAGCCTGCGGACCTCAGAGCCAGCAGCTGCCTCTCAGCCCTGAGCTGTTTTCTGCACCTGGGTGTCTGCACTGGGGCACCGCAGCCTCCCCCTGCCTGGCAGGTTTCGTAAGGGATGGTGTCAGCAGTGCTGACTGACAGCTGTGGGCCTGCCCTAGCACGGTAAGGCTCTCTGTCTGGGTGTGGGCAAGAAGAGCAGGTGGCGGAGTAGGAGCGAGGGAGGGATGGGAGCCTTGGGGCAGCCCACGGCCACACCAGATGCCATCGTATGGTCAGAGGCACAAGACTACAAGTCCCAGGAGATGCCAGGAGAGCAGCACTGGGCTCACGGGGCTGTCTCTCCCCTGGGATGCTCCCAGGCCACAGACCCATGCGCCCACCCCAGCACAGGGGAGAGCCAGCCCCTCCTGGGATGCCCCTGCTGAGCCAGGTGGGCTCCCATCCCACGTGAGCTTCTGCAGAACCCAGGGCGCTGGTGGGGCCTGAGCCCTGAACGTGTTCCCTCCCCACCCCATTGCTGTGGCTGGAGCCCCACACCAGTGGCTAAGCACAGGGTCCCCCTGGGACTCCCCCTGGCAGTTCCTGCTGCTGCAGAAGACCTGCATGGGCCAGGAGCTGGAGCAGAGGGACGTGGAGATGAGCTGTGTGCCAGACGCTGCCATGCTGCCCACCATTGTCCCCATGCCTGCAGCTGGTCACGCATGACAACGCCCCGTCGGGCTCAGATCGTGTCCCAGTGGTGGCCTTTCCGGGGGCAGCAGGCCATGGGGTGGCAGGAGCAATCTGCCAAAATGCTCCCAGGCTGCGGAGCCATTTGCCTGCAGGTCTGCATGCAGCAAAGCAGAAACCGTTTCTGAAGGGAGCCTGCGGCTTGGCTGAGTTGGGAGAGCAGCCCGGGGAAGGCGGGCTGCAGCTGCGCCAAGGACAGCAACCAGCAGGCCTGCTCCGGAGCGCTG